CGCGGCGGGAAGGGGGACCCGCAGCCTGGACGCGGCGCGCTGCCCCGGGGCAGGGCCCTTTGACACACTCAGCGAAGGCGCCCGAGGTTTCTGCGCCGCACGTGGTTTCCGCCGTGTCCTCCCGTGCAAACCCGGGAGCGTCATCGCATGCTTGTCGAGAGCACTCTGCACCTAGTCTTCATTTGCCCTCATCCAAGCGTCTAGCGAGCCCCCACCCCAAGTCGTTTAAACACATCTTTCATTCCCTTTATCTTTTGTTCCTTCTTTTTTTTTTCTTGTTTTGTTTTGTTGATACCGGGGATCGAACTCAGGGACCTTGCGCTTGCGCGGCAGCACTACTGAGCTAAATCCCCGGCCCTTTTGTTCTTTCTTGAGAATTTAAAATATCTTTTGACTAGTAATAAAAGATCTCCAGCAGTTCAACTTTATCTTAGACCTCTGCCATTCAGGTGGTGTCCAGGTGTACTCTTTAGTCCACACAGTAAGGGTTAAATAAATTGGAATAAAGAGCAGGGATAAGACTCGATAAGAGATGAGATGGAAGGAAAACTGACCAGTCGTGATCAAAACTTTGTACCACTGCCTTAATAGCACCTTCTATCCTGTCTACCGCGTAGAAAAATAGCATTGGTTGTTGGAAAAGTTGGCTTCGAGTCTTGGACATGCTGCTAGCCATTCTCTAGATGTTGATAAAGTGACTAGTAAGTTGCTCCCTTCCAGCCGGAAGTTGCTTTACTTGTTTGAAAAAGAAAGGAGAATAGCATTGGTGATACAAGGTCTTGTCTAGTTAGAAAATCTTAACTATGTAGGTGAGTAAAAAAGCTAACTTTAATTGCCATAGAGAGGATTACTGATATATGCAAATAGTTCACGAGCCCTTTGAGTGTGGAAACCATGTACATACCTTCTATCTTCTGCATTATCTAGAACAATGTCTTAAATATAAAAGTCAGATGTTTGGTTGAATGGATTAATCAAAAAATTGGGGTTTAGATAAATGATGGAGACTACATTTAGATCCTCATTCGATTATGGCTTTGTTATCTTGGTTACTTCTTTATTAGCTCCTCATCTGTCTAAACCAAATAGCTGCAAAAATCTACTTATGTGGACACCTGTAGGTATCTATGGGTTATCTCATTTATCATAGACATTGTAGGTATCTTGTATTAAATGTGTTGAGATATGTAGAGAGTTTAGAGCCCCCAAAGTGGCACATTGTACATGTGGCAGATGGATAAATGCTGACAAAAATAATCATGTCACGAGACACCTCAAATCCTCATACCACCCATACAAATCCTAGTACTTGTGTCAAATCAGGAACCAGGATGTGCTGGAATGAAATGAGTAGTTCCTTGGGAAAGTCTGAAATTACTAATTTCTTGGCTCACAACTTAAACGGTCGTGGTTAGACTCAGCACTATTAGCTCCAAGAACTCCGTGTTCCTCAAAGGGCCAGGAACCAGGATATAAGGACACTTTTCTGCATGTTTTTACTCCGCTCTGTTTCCTCATGGTTCTCAGCTGCTACTACTCTAATTAGGGCCACAAAGGATGACTTGAGAGTAAACACAATTAACAGAGATAAACAGGTCTCTCTACTTGGCTGGTGTCTGAATTGATATATTGGGAAGTGCTTATATCCCAGCAGAGGTCAACAGAGTTTTCACACTAAGAATCTATCTAATCACTGGCCTGAGACTCAACAGATAAATTTGGGTTTGATAAAGCAAGCTGGACCTTCCTTCCCTCTCTTCCTGGGAAATGAGCTGTGTGCTGGGACGTCTCCCATGGTGGTAGAACCCGGGGAGCTTGACATGGAGACATCTCATTCAGCTTTTCTTTTCTCTTTTCTTTTCTTTTTTTTTTTTTTTTTTTTTTTTTTTTTTTTTTTTTGGTACCAGGGATGGAACTCGGGTCCTCATGCTTCCAAGGCAGATGGCGGAACCACTGAGCTAAATCCCTGGCCCTTGTTCAGCTTTTCTGAATTCCCTGTCTCTCTTGTCACCGTGGGCTGTAGCCTTCTCCGTGTGCTGCAAATGGGCTTTCATAGCTGGGAGATCTTTTGTGTTTTTGAAGTGGGGGGAGCACGTGCCTTCTGAACCACGGGGGTGGAGATGCTTCGACACAGCCGAGAAGTCAAGACAGGTTGTAATCGCTCTTGAATTTCACATGCTCAAAGCCCTCTTTGTCCATTGACACTGCCCTTTTGTCCCTTCCCACCCGTCTTGATAGTTGTTCCTCTGTCTAGGACAGTAGAGGTGAGCCTGTGGCATGCGTGCCCCAGGTAGCTGTAGGTACTGAAAGCTTCTAGAAGGTTCACCATCTCTGGTGTAGGATAAGTTTATTCTACAAATCTCAATCTCAGCTCTACTCTCACCTCAATACAACTACTTCACTTCTTAAATTAAAAAAGAAAGAAAAGAGAAGCAACTCCTAAAATGGATCCCCTCCTCCTCCAGAAACCCTTCCTGGATCAGGGTGTGTGTCTCTTCCCAGACTTGGGCCCTTTATTGCTCCCCTTTTCATTTATGCACTCACGTTCTCCACACCCCAAACCTACCTGGCCCCGTGTGTGATGCGAATGCTTTCCTGTCTATTCTTGTAGGAGTTGACTGTTCTTATTCTATCATCTGTCTGTCATGTACATATTTGTTCTTCCTGGTGTGTTTGTTTTAGATAGCAGGCTGTCAGAGGTTACAGCCACAGTCCCTGTAGTGCCCAGAGCAGTTCAGTGTCACCACTTGAAGTGCCTGATGATGACGGTTTCCTTCTCTGTTAGCATCTGCTAAGGTACCGACAAGAGTGACTTCTCCTGTCTCAGCCTTCTTCGTGTTGCTCAGGAGAAGGCAGGTGGCTTCTTTCCTGAAAAGTGTTTTCTCTCTGAACGTGGGTTTAGACAGCCTGAGTTTCAGGCCCGGTTTTGCCCATTGCTAACTCTGTTCTCTGACAAGCCAGTACACTTCCTCCAGTTCCCGTGTCCTCATATCTAA